TCGCCCTCGAGGTCGACGGCCCCCGTCGCCGAGTTGGAGCGGCGGAGCTTCACCTCCTGCAGCGAGGCGCCTGCAAGAGAGCCAGGGGGAAATCAGCCCGGCAGTGCTGTGCACGACGGGGCACGGGGGGCATGGACCGGCCACCTCGGGGAGTGGGGGAGGAGGAGTCGTCGATGGAGTCGTCGATGGAGGAGAAGCAGCCGGGCAGCGGAGTGGGTAGCCCCTTTGACGCGCGGCGGATCATCCTCCGGACGGAGGCGTTGTCGTGCTCGAGTGCGATGAAGGAGATGGAGTCGTCCGAGGCGCAGGTCGTCCTCGAGGCGTTCGACACCTCGGAGCCGCCGGAGCGGAAGAGGAAGGAGGGAGACGCGGCGCGGCGCGGCGACGGAGTGCTAGGTGTGGTGGGCTGGCGCGGGCTTCCCAGGCCGATGCTCGACGAGCGGCGCGGGCTGCCGGCTGAGCCCATGCTAGAGCGACGGCGCATGACCTCGTCGCCACCTCGAGCCAGGAGCAGGGCCACCATGTCCTCGCCGGACTCCTCGAGCTCGGCGGCCATGTGAATCGGCGTCATGCGGTAGACGTCCGGAAGGCCAATCTCTCTGCACGGAGTCTGCCTCGTAAGGACTTCGACGGCTTGCAAATGCCCGTGAGAGACAGCGACATGCAAGGCCGTCTGCCCGTCCGTGTCTACCGCATCCGCTCGCGCGCCCATGGAAAGCAGGAACGCCAGCTGAGCTGCCTCGCCGCGCTCCGCCGCCTCGTGCAACGGCGTGGAGCCCAGATGAAGAGCGTCGCCGCGCTCCGCCGCCTCATGCCCAGCCTCGTGAGGCGGCGTGATGGCAGCCTCGGCGAGCGGCGCAAGACGAGCAGAGGCGCTTGCCATGGCAGCTTCCATATCAGGATCGAGACTGTAAAGCCGAGCACCGACAGCCGCCCCGGGCCCCCCCCACTCTGAAACGCCGTCAAAAACGCTTTGAATGACCCGGTTTGCTGAATCCGACCAGCGCTCTACGCTCGTCGGTGGCGGCTTCCCTCAACCTGCGCCGCGCTCGGCGAACCTCGACAGCGCCTTCGGTGGCATGCAGCTCATTGCGACAGAAGCCTGGAGAGCAGCTCCTCTGCTGCTCACACGCTCTGCAGTCTGCACAGACGTGTGAGTGTTAGAGTTGTTTGTTTATTGCTAAAAATCTCTCTCTCTCTCATTGCACAGATGGCACAGCCTACTGTGCGGCTGCCACAGCTGTGACAGCGATGGGCTCGCCCTCACTGGCCCTCAGTCACTTGTGCTGCGGCTTGTGTGAGCGACACTGCTCGGCGACTGCCGGCACACTGTGAGACCATGGGTGTGAGGTAAAACCACGCTACCAGCGCTTGGTCACATCGGCCCCGAGGTCAGATCCTTTTATTCATTCGCCCGGGTTGCTGGATGGTATGAATGATACTTTCTATCA